TATCGATACCGATATGTCTCGTTCGTTTTATCTTAACTTCATACTAAAATTAGCAATATCTTTACTGAAATCCTTTGTCAGGCGTGATTTTTGTTAAAATATTATTGCGGATTGCCTCAAAATTATTCTTTGTGTTAAAAGAAGTTTCCGGACATGGAGATAAGGAATCTACTTAACTGCGTCGTTGAAGCCTGTTTAGTATAAAAGGAAATGAGAAAACTATACTTAAGTATGGCAACTAACTACGTTTAAAACATGCTGTGTCCGGTCAGTTTGTCGGCAGATATCACACCCTTATAATTCTAACCCCAACAAGAAGGGTGAAAACCATAAATGTCTATTTACATAGATATATTTTGTTTTACCTTTCGAGAAGGTAGGTGGTATGGTGTTTACTTATCATTCTTAAGTACCATTGTGCTCGACATCCGTGTTTAGAGCCCTCGAACCACTTCAGTGTCCCTTTGTGAATTGTCCCTATAATGTTCTATGAGGATTTTTTTGTTCTGTATAAATATATCATTTTATTGCTCAGAGCTTACTACAGCTACATATTTAGGTAGGTACATAAGGTTTCATTTTTACTTGAAATAGTATTGTAGTTTATTTAACGATTCATGTAAGGTCGTATTTGAACTTGGTAGATAGTATATATAACTATATCTCTAACTACACGGTACCAATATAAATATCGTTAAGGATCCAACATAATAGTAATAAAAAATGGTAAAAAAATATATATTCAAAACCTGTCGGTACCGAACCAATGCTAGTGTATAACGTTTTTTTATTTCAACTGCGTCTATATTTATTATTATAAATAAAAAAAAATACATTTCTAAATAGTTGTTTATTTGGAGTAAATAGTAAATGCATAGTCTCGCTTGACCGGTGCAATGTTACTTGTGGCTGTTTTATTCGAGAGCTTGCCTTATCGCTATCCTAGCCGACCGGTGACCATTGCCGTCTAAATGGGAAAGCAAACAGACGAATGAGAGGGAATGCTTGTTTACACGGCGCGATTCGGCAGCTTTATAAATATTTTCAAGCCAACTAGTGGCGGGCTTCTATTATCTTATAAGGGAAACGCATTATGGTTTTCACATCACACACATGGTTTTAATGAGAATTTTAACAAAGCTATTGGCCCCTGTACAGGTCGTCAGCATATAAGCCTATAAGAGAATATATCTTATCTTCACGAATATTTATTCGTGAAGATAAGATATATACACCAATAAAATTTATATTGTACTAACACGATTTATTTGCTCATTAAACGTTACGTGAAAGCTTAGCTTTAGCTGATTGTCATGGGCATCCAGAAACGTTTGTTTATGAACGAATATGACCTTACTACTTTGAAATATCAGATGAACGTATTAGCATTACGGGTCTCATAAGCACGTGCTCTTTTATTTTTTAAGTTATTGTTTTTATTTCTATTGTGTAATGTCTAGCTATTCACTACCGTCAAGGTAACGATAGGTTATTGTCAGTAACCTCGTGTAATAACATATTCAAATATAGCCGGTTCGTCTACTGATCGTTGTTAGCTGTACGCTGTACTGCGGCGCGGTTCTTGGCGTGCCGTCGCATCATTGCGCGCCGGCCGTCGTTTACTTATGTCCCGCCGAGCCCCAAGCTTGAGTTAACTACAACATAGAGTACTCACCTTACGCTGCACTGGCTGCCTCTATGCCAAAACAATCCACTGCTTTGTCTTTCAATATACGATCGATACACACCGACTCTCAACAACGTAAAAGCAAAGTAAATTACTTTAATCACCATTCAGCACATAAACGAACACGGCCGACCCGTTTCACAATAGTATTCGCTTCGGCTCTTACACAAACACGTACAGTACACTCCACGGCTGATGACAGATCCAGTGAACGATGCGAAGCAATCCATGGGTAATGTTATAAAATATAAACAAATAACACTGGTGATTTCACAGTAGAAACACAAAATTATCGTAACAGCGTAACGCACGTCAGCGCCGCATCGAGTCGGCGGACGACCGCGGAACTCGGTTTAGGCGAGCAACGCTACGTGTCCCCCCTGGCAGTTAAGAGAGTGTAAGCGAGACACAAAACGTGATCGGGAACGCGTAAGACAGAGCCACTATGATTTTCGAGGCGGGTGGCGTAAAAATGCGAGAAGGGCGCGTACCTACAGGACAGACAGAGGTACGATCGCGTCGCTGCGGACTACTGCTATCTTGGATTGATCCACCGAGTGAATAGATAATGATTGTTGTAGCGTTTGTGCCGGCATCGCCACAGTCGCCCATTCATTACAATAATTATACGACAATTAAACGTTGCGACGGAGGTCGTTGCCGTTTAGTCGGCTGTTGCCGCGCCTCGCATCAGTGCGGCCTCACTAATATAAACTGCTGCCATAACTTGATACGTTTTTCTATTGTTTTATTACCCGTTTCCTGTATTACAATGTATTTTATGAGATTTGATTACGTTTGAAGATTATTAGAATATAATCCAATTTCAAGTCAGTCGCCGCAAACAACGCTTACAATGATAATAATTACACATGGCCATGGTGATAGTGATAGGGTGATTAGTGTGGATATTAAAATGCAGTCAGACAATATTTACATTTATTGTTGAAAGACAGTAACTTATGCTAACATTTTCTTTGTTTCGCATTGATGTCAACAATGCAATGCAGACATTCAATTCAATATAATACAGTTACACATTACATTATACTATACCTTACTAATAAATAAATTAGAACATTCTTTCAAGAGTAAGGAAATTAATATTATTCGGTAGTAGCATTCGTCTCAGCAAGGCGATTGACGTTTTGTTATCATTAAAAATAATAAATTCACATAACCACATAGCATCAATGAATGATTGTTTTATTAAGAACACGAGGTTATGAATGTTTCTAAAAGATCACAAGCTAACAAACATGTCTCTATAGCCAAGGCATTAAACTGTTCACTTATGTAATATTTCACATGGACTACAACAGTCACTGTTGTTTTTTTATTATATTCGTATATTTGAATCACAACATCGATTTGACTTATTTAACTGGATGACATATAAATAAATTGAGATTTGAACCATTAAATTCAACTTGTTACTTTAATGTGTAGGGTCTATTTTATAGGCACAAATTAATGTTTTTGTATGCAACTATAGGTGACTTAAAATATTTTAATGACAACATCAATCACAAATCGACTGTGCAATTTTTAAATACAGTAAGGGACATCTGCTAGAAAAAACTGGTCGTAAATTTTTGTTGCTTGCCAACATTGATTTGCAACGTCAAATTGTGTAAAAAGCCTTAGGACTTGACATTTAAAAAATATACCAAGTACTGTCGATGGCACAAGCTCTCAATCATTTTATATTCATCATCTAATCTCTATCTTCTTCTTGTTATTTGGTTCTCCTGTAGAATTTGTCTAGTGTCCCTTACTAAATTTTGAAATGGTACAGCAAAGTTGTCGGCCATCTCGCTTCATGCAAAACCATTCATGAACCAACATTTAGGTTAAGTAATAGACGCTAGAGGGGCAACAATATGGACAAATCTCACTCAAACCTTCAAGTTCGAATCCTCTTTAAACGTTGAGACATTTGTCGATGAGACGTATACCTTAGAAGAGCATTATTCTAGTTCAAGTTAAATAATTTATTGTATTTTTCAGGAATTTCAAAAACATACTTTGTAACTGACATTGAAATAGTATTGATAAATATCATAATATATTACATGGAATAGTTGGCCATAGGACAAAGAGAAAATGAAGATTATACATTTTTAAAGACATTTTGTCTTTAATAACAAATTTATCATCAAACCTGGTTTTAGCTATGATTCTAAAAGTGGAAGCCGACAAGCAATCTAAATAAATATTTCGGCTTCGCAAACCTCAATTCAAAAATAGGTTTCGAATTTGTGATTCCGTAAGTATTACTTCTTAAAATATATGATGTAGTTTTCCTTTACAAGAATATTTTTATTTATTAGTAACGAAAAAGTGGAATCGTTTTGCATCATAAAAAAACCATTTTTTTAGAATTATGAAATAGTTGCGTATTCGTTTCCCTTTAAAGAGGTCGCTCATCAACTTTCTACTATTATTATTTCAGTACTATAAAACATATTCAAACACACTTGCATTTTCTCCACGAGGTTCACAATACATACCTTGATACTAAACTACAACTAAATATCCATACAAGTAATGTTTCGGAAAATACAAAGAACAATTTGGTTTATTAAAAGGCTTATGACTAACATTACTTTGATATCTAGCTTATATTGGAATACGTTAAAATTTCGATATCAGACCAATCTCTGTTTATAAACCACCTAACAACATTTTGGTATTGAAACGTCGTCTTTTACAGGGTAATTTAGTTAAACTGCGACACTGCGAATGACATAAACGACGAAGTGTTGTTTACTACATATCTTAATCAGAATGCCATTTTATGACCTGTCTGCTTGCTAGCGACAGAAATTAATAAACAATCTAATTTGAAATCTCAAGATCCATTATTTTAAATACGAGTAATACTCTTTATTTTTAAAAGCTGGTGTCAATAATTAAATGGTGCCTTAAACATATAATTTTGGTTAAGGCAGATAATTTATTTCTACTATAAACAACCAAGACATTAAAAAAACATCGCATGGCACTAAACAATATGAGAAACGTCATTCATCGCCATCGTTCTGTTTCGCACTGGGTGTGGGCAGCTTTACAGTTTGAGCAGAAAAACATTAAGAAGTTATAATCACTGATCACTCGTGTCAGTCACATTATGTACACATTTCATTACGCCTGTGCGCCATTCTCCTTCGGCTGGCATGCGTGTGTGTCAGGGCGTAGCGCGCGTCTAGGGCGCCGGCAGCGGCAATTCAGGAAGCGAAGGCTCCTGTTCCTGCTCCTCTTCAGAAGAATGGCCGCTGGGATATGTGGGGCAGCCACTCTTCTCCCTCAGTCAGTACCTGGGACAAAAGATTAACACATTAATTTATAGATAGTGTGATTAAGATGTTATGTTAGGCCGTTGACAGTCCAGATTACAAGAGGTGTCAGTGTGTATCAGACAAGTTTCTATTGCAGCGAGATAAATCAAAAGGAATACGCATTCCGCCACCACAGAATATTCTCATCAATCGGGATTAAGAGCGTATACTCAATAGGACTGTACCAGACGTTGTCCATTGCTTTAAAAGTCATAGTCTCTGTGAATCAGAGCCTCTTATTGTCCTAGAATGTATATACCATGCTCCGATGGGCCGGGCCGATGGCATTATATGGGCCGGCTCGACTGGAGTGATACACGGCCTCACAGAAAAACGGTGTTAAGCAATTCTGTTGCTGGTGTTCGCTTAATGCAGGGATTCCAAAAGTTTCTTCTGTGTAAAAGATCCCTTTTCTAAAATTAACTGATACCCAAGTTAGTATACGTAACACAACTAATACGGTATCTTGAAAGTTTCAAATTAATTCAAATAAGAACTTGTGATAATTAATATGGGTCGATTTTTAGACCTCGTCGACCCCCAAAATCAGTTTTCGTTTATGTCGACCCCTGGGAAACCGATTACGACTCCAAGGGATTGATATCGACCAAGTTGGAAATCCCTGGTCTAGTGAATGAGCCCACAAAGGTTGGCAATGCATTTGTCTCTTGGAGTTGCACATATCCATTGGCGGAAGTAGTTATTTGACCATTCAGCTTGTTTGCTCATTATTACGAAATATAAATATTATTTATTACGAAAATTACGTTAAAATAGGTTTTGCGCCATTTGTGTAATAAAGTAATCATATTTATATCTTTTTGATAATTACATTTAATTATTTGTTTGTTTTACAGTTTATTTATTTTATTATAAATTATCAAGTGCATGCGTTAATTGTTGTGTAATTTATCCCTTGTTTGTATATCTAATGTAACTATATACTACTACTGCATACACATTTGTTACTGTTATCTTTAATACATTACCGCGAGGATACGAAGACTATGGTACAGAGAATTATAAGAATTATAAGACTCGTGGACACAGAAAAGTAATTTTTAGAACTGTCAGTGATAAATGGAAATTAAAACAGAAATGCAACCGTAATTGAAGAAATTTATACGCATTTTAGATAGATATATCATCACGAATCATGCATACGTAGACATTTCCCTAGGGCATTAAACGACGAGGGTGCGGACACCCCACATCATCGGAGAGTTGGATAAGTCAATCGAGCCTCGGTTTGAATTACAATTCGGTTTCAATGGATGGTGGATATTACACTAATTAGTTTTGTGACCTAACCGTTGGCGCACCTACCGTGATAAGGGTGGCATTAGTACATGTTAACGTGATTTAATTACGTATATTAAACCCTCTCTTGCCACATTTTGATCGTTACGTGCTCGACGTGAATAGAAGTTGATAACTAGTTGTCTAGAATTCAGCTTTAAGACCATGTTTTTTTTTATGGCAAAAGGGGGACCAGAGTAGTAATCTAATGGAAAGTGACCATCGTCGTCCATAGACGTCTGAAATTTTTTAAGCGGCTTTTTAAGGTGCCATATTTTGATCTGATCGTGCCTTGATGCGACTGTGAGCTGATAGTTAGTCGTCTTGAATTCAGTAGTAAGACCATGTTTTTTTATGGCATAGGGGGGCAAATGAGCATACACAAGTTCGATAACAGGTAACCTCACTAACTAGTTGAAAAGCAAAGAAAAAATGACTAAGACCGGGTTCTTGTAAAGCCTTAGTATCGGTATAAAGAACTAACATAGTATTTATAGAAGACTAGCGACCTCGGCTTCGCAAAGGTGTAATGTATGACGTCACATTACAAGTCTTGAATTCTCTGATTGTCATCTATGCATGTACAAATTCCCAACCCTATTTGATCACTTAGTAGCTTTTAAACATAACAATCCCATTTAATCACTTAGTAAAGGTCACATCACACACATCAACAGCCTATAATAGTCAACTGCTGGACATAGGCCTCTCCTTAGAAAGGAGGCTTTGGACTACTATACCACGCTGGCCAGACGAGTTGGTATAGGGTTTGTTTCAGGTTTTCCTTCTCTTTGCAGTGAAGTTGTCTTGCGTAGTTTTCTCCTTTAGTCGACTTTTACGACACCCACGGGATGTATAGGGGTGGTGACATTACGTATTCTTAATCCGTCACCACTTTTTAAGGGTAGTTTTGAAAATACTTTTAATGAAGAGTATTTACCAAAAAAAAGAAGTTTCATAGGAATTTCCAAACCACCTTTTGCACCCTTAGGGGTGGAATTTACGAAAATCCTTTCTTAGTGCACACCTACGTCACCTAAGGAACATTTGTGCAAAATTTCACGCTTGTAAGCCCAGCGGTTTCGGCTGTGCGTTGATCGATGAGTCATTGAATCAGTCTGTCTGTTTCTTCTTTTATAGATATAGATAACTTCGTATCGCACCTTTAAAGACAAACCGTTACTAAACGAAATTTTTGGAGAATTGAGTTATTAATACCATCTTTCTTAAAACTACGTAAACTATACGATGAGTTTGACACTGTTCAAAAAAATCCAATTTTAGACATAGATGGCGTCGGTTTTGACCGTTACAAAACTAAATAAGATTTGCTTGCTAAATGCAATATCGTGTCTATACTAATTGTGAATTGTTCGTTAAAGAGTGATGACGGAAGTTTGACGGAAGTTTAGTGACAACTTGCTGTGGTTTAAAACTAGATACTGAATAAAGACTGATTATTAAGACATCCTAGCAATGCTAAAGATTTAAGTGCCATAATGTCAAAGAAATGTATAGATCTCGCGTTTTAAATGAAAATAAAACATTGATTAGAATGTGTTATTTTATTTATCTGTCCAGTTACAATTTGAGCGAATGCTAATTATAATATTTTCAATTTAGTAGTATTGTAAAATCATTATTATAATGGGTTTTCAAGTATTTTTATATTTTGTTACATAATTTATATGGGGATTTTACAATAATTAATCATAATTGAAAAAAAAAATGGAAAAATGTTACTATAAAAATTTAAAATCGTAATTAACAATGTTCTATTAAAAAAAAAAATAGCTTTTCTGAATTTAATGTTATAGTGTAAATAAATATCCATCATTATGACCATAAAGAATGGCTCAAACCACCATGATCTTAAATGCTATTGCAAAAAGGTCCTGCATTTTTCTTATTTTAGCTCCTGTGTAAAATTGTGTATTTTCGTTTAGAAACGGTTTGTCTTTAAAGTTGCGGTATGGTTACCCAAAATGATTAATATTTAAGAATCTATATGTACTTTATTGACAAAAATTAAATAAGTTTATAATTAAACTACCCTGGTGGCTTATGCAAAACAATTTATATATCACTAAGGTTTAAAAAAAAACCTGGGGTTGACCTGATGAGGAATGACAATAATTATAATGTAATATAGGTACCTACACAAAGTATTTTATTAATTTGTTAAATTTGCATTATATTTTCATACCCTAAATGTTCATGACCCTGTTCGATTTATTTATACCAAACAATTAAAATAATTTGAATTTGATCACTGTGCATTGGCACACATAGGCGTTCTAAACATTGATCAGTACGTGTAATTAAAATCCGATATTTTGGCCCAGCACCTTTGCCCAATGTGTGGCTATTTTCGTTACGCCGATCATAGACAAGCAGCTAGATGAACTTTTACTAACTAAAAACCTCGTTGGTGTTCCATCAACGAGGTTTTTAGTTGAACCTACGTTGAGGACTGTAGTCACGGCCGTCATGGCCATTCGGAGGCACAGGCACAGTCGCAGCAACATTACGAGAGTTATTGTTTTTAAGACTACGGGACCCTGAGTAGCCATTTTGTCATAGAAGTGACAATAAAAAAAAACTACTTCTATGTAATAACTGTTTTGCTTAATAAATTTCAGTCCAGGGTAAAAAAAAGGTTTTGTACTATGAAATATACCTGGGATTTGACGACTAAAGCAGTCAGATGACAGACCCTTATGAGCAATATTATGTTGCCTCCATTGACCATCTTACCCTTTTATTGAAAGGGTAAGATGGTCAATGGGGGCAATTTTCTTCTCAATTTTCATCACTTTGAATTCCCCAAATGTTTGATTAGCCGTAATAGACTTGCCTTTAATGTTTTAGTCGTATTCAATTGTAGTCGGTTAACTATTCGTACAAAATTTTATTAAGATAATTAGTATTGCATTAATCATCAACAGCCTATACTAGTCCACTGCTGGACATAGGCCTCTCCTTAGAAAGGAGGTTTTGGCCTACTTTGCATTAAATAATAATTAAATTGCAGACACGATTAAATTACATTCTAGCTTTCCACATCATAATTACAATTATAAAGCAGAAGCTGCAACAAGTATTGTATTGTACACTTAGTAAGCAATTTTTTTTTGATTTTGACTTCAAAAATGTAATGTAATGAGATACCGAGCCGATACGTGCACACTCACCGGTGGACTTGTCAACAAGTCCTAAGACGTTTAGCGGGCGTATAATACTCGAAACGAAACAATTCGACAAAGAACTGGAGTAACCGACATCGCACAAAGAATCAGTACGCTGAAGTGGAAGTGGGCTGGTCATGTCTCCAGGCGGACTTATGGTCTCTGGAGTCGACATTTGCTAGAGTGGAGACCGCGATTAGGTAAACGTAGTGTAGGGCGCCCTGGAGCACGATGGACCGATGATTTGAGGGAAATGGCTAGGAGAGGATGAATGCCAGTCCGCATTCAAGACTGGGCGTGTTGGCACTCTTTGCCGGAGGCCTTCGTTCAGCAGTGGACGGCAATAGGCGGAAGTGTATTTTATAAGGTACAATATCAGAATTAAATTTTGTCAAGTGATAAATTGGACCACTATTGGACTCAGTGGATAAAATGCATAATTTTTATGGGAAAACTAAAAAGGCATTATTGCGATCAAAAAGTAGTTTTATACTTACTTTCTAAAATTATCATCTCTTTCTGTGTCTGCATAGGGTGCCCAGTGTCCAGGTGTCGCTTCACCGGTCTCCTCGTTACTTGTGCCTGAATGTTCATAAAAATTATGGCATTTTAATATAAATAGCTGATATTATGCATGTTATGCATGCATGTCATGTTGTGTTTATTTTAAACATTTTTAGATAGTACATGCTTAATTATAATAGATTAAGAATTTCTAAGATCTAAATGCATTTTAATTTTCACACCAAATTAGAATTCCGTGAGTGTAAGTCAGTTTATAGAGTTACCTTCTGAATGACAGTCTTAACTAGTTCAGAATGTTTAGTTTAGAACTCGTGTGTAATAAAAAGATATTGACTTGACACTTGTTTCCCCAGTTTGCAATCGTCAATGACTGAGTTACAATAGTTTTCTTTGTGTGCCTACGTAATGGTAATTCGTTAGGCTGATGATTATATCTGTTAAGTAACTAAATCGGTTTTTGTCAAATATGCGGCAGATTTCTTGTAACAGATTACGATCGATCTGGATGTATTATGATGATATGTTTAAAAATTCTACTAGGATTAGTATATTCAGAGATAATTTAGGTTTATTTCACATAGACATTGTGACGCTGGAGTAGATGATATAATAATATACCCTTATTCAGGTAATTTTACTAAAGTTACTACTGTCTAGTTAAAGTACGTCAACAAATATACATGGGGCGAGGGGCGGCTTGCCTCTGACCCTCAAACTATATGCTTTGAGCCGTCAGTAGTTTCTCGCTCTGGTCACATAATAGGAACAAATTTGTAGTACTAAATAAACTAGCAAAGGGAGCATGCAGCGTGTGTGCGGGTATCCACAGCGTTGGTATTTACTTAATATGCGCGTGTAAACTAAATATAATAATAATATTTTTTTTGGGTTTTTTTTTTTGAACAAAACAAAAAACCTTTTTAACAAAAGACAAACCCATATCTCAATGAAATTTAAACTTCCTATCCATGAAAATTTCCCTAGGTCTCGAATATGCTACCTCGTTAATAATTTATTAAACGAATTTTTGGGTGTTAATTATATGTTTTGTTTCTGAAAATTTTATAGGGACCATTTTTTTAAAATTTAGAGCCTTTTATTTTCGACGCCCCCTCCACAACCCCATCGGGGTCTTTTGAAGTAATATTGGTCATGATGCTATGGATTACTTTAGTGGCTTTAAGGTCGTCCACAAAAAAAAAAACTAAAATGTAAAACAATGGGGCGATGTCATTAAAGAAAAAGTTTTGGGAAAAGATAGGGTCCTTGATGCGACCCTTGTGGTATTCCCGAGAATGCAGTGTACTGCTTGGAACATGAACCGTTTATGACTACTCTGAGTTTTCTATTATGAAGGTAAGATTTAAACCGACTCAGCAAAGGCCCCGAAATTCCAAAGAGCATTATTTTTTTAACTAAGATTGAATGATCTACCGTGTCGAAGGCCTTACTGAAGTCGGTGTAGATAGCGTCGACCTGTACTCTCTCGTCAACAGTAGTAACTAAAGAATCAACATAGGTAGTAAGGTTTGAGGCAGTAGATCTGCCCGCTAGAAAGCCATGCTGCGCTGTGCTTATTTTCGGAGAGATATGCCAGGATAAATGAGGACAGACAAGAGCCTCCAACACTTTCGCAGGTACTGATAAAATTGCTATTGGCCTGTAATTTTCGACATTACTCTCGTCATCAGTTTTATATACAGGAACAATTTTTGTTTCTTTCCAAAAAGAGGGAAATTTGCCCGTCATCAAAGATCTTTTGAAGATGATAGTTAACGGAGACGCTAATTTGTCAGCGTTTTTGACATAAAATATGGGCGGTATATCATCCGGTCCTGCTCCCTTATTCATATCTAGGTGCGACAAAGCTCTCTTGACTTGATCATGTGAAAATTCAACATTGTTTAAGTTGGTATTAATTATACTATCATCAAAAAGACCAGGGTGACTATCTTTCGTTCCAGAGATTACCCGGAACAAACAGACAGACAGACACAAAAATTGTAAAAAATGTTATTTTGGCATATGTACCGTGTAAACATACATTTGCATTGCGGTTATTTTAATATTACAAACAGACACTCCAATTTTATTTATTTGTAAAGATTAGAGAACCAATTGTTATAAATCATTGTACTCTTTATCTAAATAAATATTATTATTAGACTGAACTGGTACTCTGTAATTATAATGAAAATTTAAAAAATCTATTTATTTTTTAGTTCATCCATTTATGTATTAACAAAATCATAACCATTGTAATGAACCAATGACTCGTGGACACAGAAAAGTAATTTTTAGAACTGTCAGTGATAAATGGAAATTAAAACAGAAATGCAACGATTTGAACGAATTTGAAGAAATTCATACGCATGTTAGATAGATATATCATCACGAATCATACATACGTAGACATTTCCCTAGGGCATTAAACGACGAGGGTGCGGACACCCCACATCATCGAAGAGTTGGATAAGTCAATCGAGCCTCGGTTTGAATTACAATTCGGTTTCAATGGATGGTGGATATTACACTAATTAGTTTTGTGACCTAACCGTTGGCGCACCTACCGTGATAAGGGTGGCATTCGTACATGTTAACGTGATTTAATTACGTATATTAAACCCTCTCTTGCCACATTTTGATCGTTACGTGCTCGACGTGAATAGAAGTTGATAACTAGTTGTCTAGAATTCAGCTTTAAGACCATGTTTTTTTTATGGCAAAAGGGGGACCAGAGTAGTAATCTAATGGAAAGTGACCATCGTCGGCCATAGACGTCTGAAACTTTTTAAGCGGCTTTTTACGGTGCCATATTTTGATCTGATCGAGCCTTGATGCGACTGTGAGCTGATAGTTAGTCGTCTTGAATTCAGTAGTAAGACCATGTTTTTTTATGGCATAGGGAGGCAAATGAGCATACACAAGTTCGATAACAGGTAACCTCACTAACTAGTTGAAAAGCAAAGAAAAAATGACTAAGACCGGGTTCTTGTAAAGCCTTAGTATCGGTATAAAGAACTAACATAGTATTTATAGAAGACTAGCGACCACGGCTTCGCAAAGGTGTAATATATGACGTCACATAACAAGTCTTGAATTCTCTGATTTTCTTTACATGTATGCATGTACAAATTCCCAACCCTATTTTATAACAATCCCATTTAATCACTTAGTAGCTTTTAAACATAACAATCCCATTTAATCACTTAGTAAAGGTCACATCACACACATCAACAGCCTATAATAGTCAACTGCTGGACATAGGCCTCTTCTTAGAAAGGAGGCTTTGGCCTACTATACCACGCTGGCCAGACGAGTTGCTATAGGGTTTGTTTCAAGTTTTCCTTCTCTTTGCAGTGATGTTGTCGTGCGTAGTTTTCTCCTTTAGTCGACTTTTACGACACCCACGGGATGTATAGGGGTGGTGACATTACGTATTCTTAATCCGTCACCACTTTTTAAGGGTAGTTTTGAAAATACTTTTAATGAAGAGTATTTACCAAAAAAAAGAAGTTTAATAGTAATTTCCAAACCACCTTTTGCACCCTTAGGGGTGGAATTTACGAAAATCTTTTCTTAGTGCACACCTACGTCACCAAAGGAACATTTGTGCAAAATTTCACGCTTGTAAACCCAGCGGTTTCGGCTGTGCGTTGATCGATGAGTCATTGAATCAGTCTGTCTGTTTCTTCTTTTATAGATATAGATAACTTCGTATGGTTACCTAAAATGATTAATATTTAAGAATCTATATGTACTTTATTGACAAAAATTAAATAAGTTTATATTTAAACTACCCTGGTGGCTTATGCAAAACAATTTATATATCACTAAGGTTTTAAAAAAACCTGGGGTTGACCTGATGAGGAATGACAATAATTATAATGTAATATAGGTACCGACACAAAGTATTTTATTAATTTGTTAAATTTGCATTATATTTTCATACCCTAAATGTTCATGAGCCTGTTTGATTTAATTTTTTTAAATTTAATTTTAATTTGATCACTGTGCATTGGCACACATAGGCGTTCTAAACATTGATCAGTACGTGTAATTAAAATCCGATATTTTGGCCCAGCACCTTTGCCCAATGTGTGGCTATTTTCGTTACGCCGATCATAGACAAGCAGCTAGATAATAATAATAATAATAGTCACGGCCGTCATGGCCATTCGGAGGCACAGTCGCAGCAACATTATGAGAGTTATGGTTTTTAAGACTACGGGACCCTGAGTAGCCATTTTGTCATAGAAGTGACAATAAAAAAAAACTACTTCTATGTAATAACTGTTTTGCTTAATGAATTTCAGTCCAGGGTAAAAAAAAGGTTTTGTACTATGAAATATACCTGGGATTTGACGACTAAACCAGTCAGATGACAGACCCTTATGAGCAATATTATGTTGCCCCCATTGACCATCTTACCCTTTTATTGAAAGGGTAAGATGGTCAATGGGGGCAGTTTTCTTCTCAATTTTCATCACTTTAAATTCCCCAAATGTTTGATTAGCCGTAATAGACTTGCCATTTAATGTTTTAGTCGTATTCAATTGTAGTCTGTTAACAATTCGTACAAAATTTTATTAAGATAATTAGTATTGCATTAATATATTTAATATATATATTCCACATCATAATTACAATTATAAAGCAGAAGCTGCAACAAGTATTGTATTGTACACTTAGTAAGCAATATTTTTTTTTGACTTTTGACTTCAAAAATGTAATGTAATGAGATACCGAGCCGACACGTGCACACTCACCGGTGGACTTGTCAACAAGTCCTAAGACGTTTAGCGGGCGTATAATACTCGAAACGAAACAATTCGACAAAGAACTGGAGTTACCGACATCGCACAAAGAATCAGTACGCTGAAGTGAAAGTGGGCTGGTCATGTCTCCAGGCGGACTTATGGTCTCTGGAGTCGACATGTGCTAGGGTGGAGACCGCGATTAGGTAAACGTAGTGTAGGGCGCCCTGGAGCACGATGGACCGATGATGATTTGAGGGAAATGGCTAGGAGTGGATGAATGCCAGTCCGCATTCAAGACTGGGCGTGTTGGCACTCTTTGCCGGAGGCCTTCGTTCAGCAGTGGACGGCAATAGGCGGAAGTGTATTTTATAAGGTACAATATACAATATCAGAATTAAATTTTGTCAAGTGATAAATTGGACCACTATTGGACTCAGTGGATAAAATGCATAATTTTTATGGGAAAACTAAAAAGGCATTATTGCGATCAAAAAGTAGTTATATACTTACTTTCTAAAATTATCATCTCTTTCTGTGTCTGCATAGGGTGCCCAGTGTCCAGGTGTCGCTTCACCGGTCTCCTCGTTACTTGTGCCTGAATGTTCATAAAAATTATTTTTTTTCATTTTTTTTTAATGAAAAACGCAAGTCATATTTTAATTATCTCCTGATCATAAAAATACATTTTCAAGTATTAATATTTATAACTAACAACATTTTATTTTTTTTATAAATAATCACCTATTGTTATATATAAATAATATATTATCATATATGAGAAAATATATAATATAATGAATTTTGTACATATATTAAACATATATAGATATAATATATTAATTATATGTAATAATATGTGATTATAAACAACAAAAATTTATCGGAATATTTAAATGAAAGAGGTATGCGAATTAAAAAAAATGAAAAAAAATAAAAATAAAAAAAAAGTTCCGAGTGAGACTCGATCCAGCGACCCCGCGATTACTAGTCTCGGCCGCTACCGACTACACCACGAGCCCGGCTCGAAAACCGGTGTAATCTTTATGGTATAAGAGCGCGCTCGAAAACTTCAAACTCCATTTTCTCGAGAATTTCTGAATATGAACTTTAACGTTGATGTTATACGTTCCACTATTCAAAATTACCATTTAGAACATCGCGAGTTACCTACCTTGCTAAAGTTAAAAATAATATTTCAAGATAAACTGAACTATGATGGAAGTATTTCGACTCTGCGTACAGCTTTGTTAAAGTTGGGATACAAACGGCGAAAAACTGTGGATAACAGACGTGTTAAAACTGCGATTTTCCTACCTAAAAAATTTACTCAGATACCGTCAAGAAAATCGGTGTATCGTATATACAGATGAGAGCTACATCTTAACTAATCATGTGCAAAACAAAGGATGGGGTAATAAAGATGGACCACCTTTAAAGAGAAACCTGTCGAAAGGACAAAGAATTATCATTGTGCATGCTGGTTCAGAACAAGGTTTCGTACCTAACGCACTATTGACATACAAAGCAAATAGTGTTTCTGGTGATTACCACACTAACATGAACGCAGAAAACTATGTAAAAGTGGCTAAAAGAACGTCTAGTACCGAATCTTCCACCTAACTCTGTGGTTGTGCTTGATAATGCCTCATACCATAACGTTCAAAATGACAGAGCCCCAAATTCTAATTCCAAAAAAATAGAAATGCAGAGATGGCTGACAGAAAAAAATATAGCTTTTGATCAAGATATGAAAAAAATTGAACTGTATGATTTGATTAAAAAAAATAAAGAAAAATATATCTGTTACAAGATTGACGACATACTTCAGCCATATGGCATAAAAATTCTTCGACTGCCACCATATCATCCTGAACTAAACCCCATAGAAAATGTGTAAGGAATTTTAAAGAATTATATTGCTTCGCATAATGTTGACCAAAATGTGACGGAAATAATGAAACTCATAAATGAACGTTTAAGTCAAATTGATATAGGGATGTGGGGTAATACTTGTCGACATGTACAAAAGAAAGAAGAAGAATACTATAGACATTTTGACATGGAGTCAGAATTCATAATTAACCTTGGTGAGAGCAGCGAATCCGAAAATTCATCATTTGATTTTTCAAGTAGCGATTCAGAATAATGTTCAATAAATAAACATTACATTACGAAATAACTCTTTTTTTTTTAAACCCGTAAATAACTATATTTGTATTTGTACGACTGTACCTCTTGTCACGCACACAAAGTCACTGTATATGTACAAGGTTTACCCACACATAGGGCCGCGCGCACATCTGAGTTGAACTATCTATAATATGTATATAACATGTAATAAAAAGAATAATAATAATAAATTTATTTGAAGTCCAGATTTTCTTATTTTGTTTAACCATGAAAGCCGCCACACTAGGCTGAGCCTGTATCGAGGCTATCGATTAAAACGATTATACATTTGGACGGCAGTATTTTTCTAAATCATTGAAAGAGATCACAGTTAACTAAAATCTATATTTATTTAATTGACTAAGTTTAAATTTGAGCTTTGTGTGTGTGTGTGTGTGTGTGTACATGCCTGAGTATGTGTATTCGTCTGTCTGTCAGTTTTCATTTTAATGTTGAAATTTTTAGCAATCGTTCAGTTTGTTTATGGTCAAGACGGCTTACTGTATTAGTGATTTAGAGTTGATTTGTAAATATAATACCTTTGGCGGTGGCGGGCCCGACGGGCGTGATGGAGAGGTGCGGGTGGTCGGGCAGCGGCTCGGGGCGCGCGGGCGCGGCGTGCGGCGGGGACGCGGCCGGCGGCGACGGGCTGTCCAGCGAGATCACCGCGCCGCCGCCCGCGCCCGGCGACCGGTACCCGCTCGACGACACCGCCTCCGCCGCTGCGACACACAAGCACTCCTGAGGCCCGCGGTTCTCTGACGCCGGTCGAGAGAACCCCGGGCCTAACTTTCCTGGGACGACTCGAAGTACACCATTAACGTCGTTCGTGGTTTTTTTTAATATCCCCAAATCAAGGTATAACGTGACGCCTTAGTATTTCATCAGAAATGTACTCTGTCTTTAGTTTTTAAGTGTAATAAAAAGATATTGATTTGCCTTGACTCTCGTTTACCCCTTTTGCGTCACCATCGCTCACTCATCCCGACCGGCCGATCCACCCAGAACAACTAACCGAGGACAAACATTTGTCCTATGTCAGGATTCAACATATATGTACTAACTATAACTAAAATATAGCATTTACATTCTACTTATTATTTATAAGTTGCTACCAATGCTAATAACATTAACCCTATACTTAAACTATTTTCTCCCTTGTGTTAACCTTTGAAGATATATCAAACAATGATATACAAAGATGCGTTAAGCATCTCTAAACATGCGAGGTTCACCAAATGTATGTTAATTACAGTTTCGACTCTAAAGATTCAGATTATTTGCTAAACACTAGTGGTCTGAGATATAATTCTATTGACCCTCCCATGGTTAAAGGTAAAATCAGAACACATCTATACTAAATTACAATAAACAATTGAAGAGGCAATTGTTTATTGTAACATGAACTGCAGATTCAACTATTTCACCACTGTGTGGTTAGTGCTGTCTGCGAGCCCATCACCCAATATTGAAAAGAAAAGAAAGAAGACAATTAAAAGTCTAACATAAACATTTAATTAATTAATTGAATTGAATTAATAAGTTATTTATTTTATTTATAATAAAGATTAAAAAAATCTCACCACTGGAAGACGAGTAGTTGTCATCACTCTTGACACTGGACTCGGAGGCGGGAGGAGTGGGTTTAGGTTGTGGAACCTTTCGTTTGAGAGGCATCTCATCATCTGAGTCTGACGTGAGATCCACTAATACTTCTGCCGGTTTGGGTGCTCGCGCTTCACCCACAGCAGCACGCTTGCCTCCTCCTTCGACTGGGATCACTTCTGTATAACACATGAGTGTAATAAATTACTTATTATTATTTAAAGCATCTTCATTGCTACACAATGTAAATTAATTGTTATATCAAATTAACTTGGAGAACAAAGGTGAAAAAGACCAATAATGCCATCACAATTAAACCTAATTCTTTAAAAAATAATGAAAATTAAAATTTCAATGGGCATTGTTTGTTTTGATTGTAACTTTGTTGTGTTAAAAGTAGGGTCATCCATCATGTCATGCCATCCCACATCCTTTTGTTCTTAACTGGAATTCACGTAAGCAATCAGTTGGTAAGCAAACTTGAAAATGGCTTGACCAGACTATTTTTATTTTTTTGACTAGCCAGAAAATCTGGAATAGGTTTTTCCCATAGAAAAGCTAGTTGATATCTCTGTCTTAGTAGCGCCTCGAAATAAAAGACGGCACTTAGTACCGTTTCCTATCGAAGACTTACGGCAACCCATATCTCTCTATCTATCCTATTCATTTTATACATTTGTTTTACACTATTTTTTCTTCTTCGTTTGTTCCGTATGAAAATCATTTTATTAGGCGGCCAGTCATAAAAGAAACCAGCCAAAATAATTTTCAAGGTCGGTTAACGCTACGCGCAATATTCAAATTCCCAATATTATTTTAAAAATTCCAAAAGGGCAGGAAAATCATGAAAGGTGATGGATGACATGTTCACAGTCTAGTTTACAAATGCAGGCGATTGACTAACCGAGATCATCAGAGATAAGCGTGACAGGCTCTGTGGTCGGCTGTTGCTGTTGCGGGGCTCGTGGAGGGGGCGCATGCGCCGACCAGTTGCCGTCGGCGTGCAACTGGATCTCGTTGCAGTCACTCGACAGCCGAGCTGATGTCAACACCTCTTGGAAATACCTAGACACACCACACACGTGTTACTTTACGTGATTAAAATTGAGCTGGCAAGGCTTGGGTTGCGTAGTGTGAAGTCATAAAGCGAAATTGAATAAGCAGAATTTGTCTCAATGAGGTATGATTGTCAGTGTTAAAATAACAGTACCTAAAACATTTTATTACAATTTACAGTATAGGACATCAACCGGATCCGGTTATCGGAATCTGAACATAAATTATTTGTATATTTCTTACCCGTCTACAACAAGTGAATCATATGGCGCCGGACGATCACAGACAGGACAGAGCCAGGTAGGTTTTCTTTCGTTCATTTGTAGGAACAAGGACGCATCGAAGCACTGCAGGTGAGGGCAGTTAGCGGGTCGACATGGACACGACATGCGCATCTTGCCAAGGGGGCACATAAGTGACACTCGCAAAGACGTTGTGGCTATTTCACTATCATAATCCTCTGACAATTTCTCTTTGACTGTAAAGGAAAATATTTTTATTTTTATTTTTTTATTAAGAACACAACATCTATGTACATGATAGTTTGGTATGGTAGAGAGAAGGAAAACTTGACACAAACCCTTTACCAACCCGTCTGGCCAGCGTGGTATAGTAGGCCAAAACCTCTTTTCTCAGGAGAGGCTTATGTCCAGCAGTGGACTATTAAAGGCTGTTGATGATGATGATGATGATTGTTCTAAGAAGACCTCCTGTCTAAAAAGAGGCCTGTGTCCAGCAGTGGACTATTGAAGACTCTTGATGTGATGTTTGTTCTAAGATTAGACACTTGAAACCCTGGATAATAAGATTCTAAGTAGGATTACCATTTATACATTACATGTCTGACATTTTTATGTACAATACTACTTTTTAAAATGGTGTGTAAATAAAGAGTTTCCTATCTATCTGTCTAATTCGTGATATGGTTCTACTGGCCATTAGGTGAGAAACTACATAATACAAAATCTCTCCCAGTTACTATTATTTTACTATTTCTCCCAGTTACTATTATTCATGGCTATTATCTTTCTAGTAATAAATCTAGTTATTAGCGTTGCTTCCTGGCAACGAACAGTAGGTAGAGCGTAGCATATGAGACGAAGAACATAACGCGAAGCTCAAGAGCAGTCAAGAAAGAGGTTTACTGTAAATGTCCTCTGAATCATACAGGACATATCCGTTGTTTCTCTAATATATAGAACCTAAGCCCATAAAATTTATAAAGAAGGCTCAAAGTTCTCTCTTTTTGAGTAAAGCTCTCCTTTAAGTATTATTTATGAATTTTAAGTTGCAAATGATTAAGTATATAAATATTATAATTGTTTAATAATACTCACTAAGTGATCTTGTATAATCTGGATTTTTAGTTCCTTTATTTTTCAGCCGTTGGAGCAATTCAGCTGACGTGAGTTTCCGTACCATGAACACACTGAGTACGTATGCCCTTGTGAAGTCGGCCGCCCATGTGACGTGGATTGTATTCGCAACAGTGGGAGACAATTTCACTAGCGACGAAATGTTGACTGGGCGCGGTGGCCGTTTTGGTTCTGGAGTCGGTTTGTTTGTTGGTATTGGATTCTGTGCAAAGATAATGAAATATGTCTCACATTTAACATAGATAATTAACCTTAACAACATACAATTATTTCTTGAAATTGTAAATAAACAGAGGGTAGCTAAGGGCAGGGTAGCTAGGCGGTAACCGAGTAGGTTAACACATTGCCTGGTTCCCCGGCTATTAGTACCCGAGACGGCGTGCGGTTTTAGTCGGTTCGAGTCCGACATGCCACCGAGGTGATTTGAGATTGAGATTGAGGTGAAAAACAAAAAAAAAAAAAGGTTAACACATTGCAATGTTAAGCAATCCTAGCCAAGTCAGTCTATAGATGGTTGACCATTCTCAACACATTGAGACCCCTCTGTACCTCGGAAATCCCGGTTGCTATGCGAACATCTGTGGCAATCGTTACGGGTAATTGGACCCCTAAAAAGTACGACAATAGTCTTTCTACAGACTTTCGATATCGCCTAGTACTTGGGAGGTCTGCTGGCAGTCGATCCCCGTAAAAAAAACAAAGTTAAAAAATAAAGAGGCAGAGAAACAACTCTGCCTTCACCATAAGACAAAAAATACTATAGATGCAGTACTAAGTTACTTTTTCATGTGCTAGTCTATCATCTTTTAACTGTCCCGTAAATTTAAATAATTCTTATTTATTAGGAGTTTAGATAAAAATATCAAGTATCAATACACAGGAAGAATTATTATTCCATATATGAGTGTATTGATGACATTGTTATTTTAAATAAATGACAAATATGTACTACGCCTTCTTTACAAGTACTAGTGACAAGTAACTTACATAATTATGTATATGTTACATAAATAAGACGCCTAAATAGCATAGATTGTGTTAATGGTAAGCTTGTACCACCTATTGCTAACATTCAAGTATTTCGTCCCAATAAAAACCTTGATTATACTATATCATAAGGATAGAGAATTTAAATAATATACATTTTTATTGTGCTTCGTTATGCATGCTTCTTTAACAATATGATGACAAGAATATAAATTAAGACACATTTACTTACTGGTAGTGGGCACATTTTATTGTTAACTTTTACATTAACACTAGGTGGGAAGTGGTCCTCTTGTTCACAAGAAGTTTCTAGAAGACAAAACCTTAGTTGTGCCTGTAAACAAAAGAAACAGAAAATTAGTTGCAATCTCAGTTATTCTAGGCAATAATCTTGGCCTATTTCCTTTGGCAAGTATCATCTGTTTTTATTATTTAAAAGAGAATTTCATGTAACGTTTGGTGAAGAAAAAAAATTCTCGCAATGCTTACTGAACATAGAATATGTGGACGTGAGAGTAAAAGCAAAAAAAAACTCTCCAGCAAGTGGTTAAATTTTTTATCCTTTAAGAAGGTCAACAACTTCTACGAGTATGATAATATAATAATAATAAAATACAAACTAGCTGGTACCCGCGACTTCGTTCGCGTGGTATTTGAAAAGCGCTGTCTAAGCGATACGCCACTATAGTCCATGAGGCCTCGGTTCGATTCCCGGACAGGGCAAAATTTTATATAGTTTTTCTGAGAGGAAAAATTGCCTAATTGGGCTCTTATATAGACAGCTACCTGGTAGTAAAATATTAACTAAATCGGTCCAGCCGTTTAGAAGATTACCCGGCACACACAGACAGACAAAAATATTTAAACTGGTTTTTAGGCATAGATATCATGCTATTTGCATGTACGAGCAGGAAAAAACCTATTATTTTGACATTACAAACAGACACTTCAATTTTATTTATTTGTATAGATTAATTACCTGTATGACATAATCTAACTTATTACTTGCGCCGACGATGTCCTTGCCGGAAGCGATTTCAGTTGCCTGCTGCGGTGTGAGGTGGAAAATGTAGGTGCCCTCTTGCATACGGCCTGCTTGCATCGGCATCATAGTCGAGGGCTTCATAAGTTCCGCTAACACGTCGTAGAACGGCAGCCTGATGATAAATCAAATTATTTAATGTGAATCTTTGGCTATGATAAGTTTGCTGAAATGGTCACCTAAGGTAGGTAAAGCATTTATCTAAGGACGATCGTTTCGTAACATTTACTTGTATGATAGTAAAAATTGAGTATTAAATAAGAGTGGGATTTTATTTATTCATTTTTATTGTTCAGTTTAGACCAGGGACTCCCAAACTCTTTGGGCAAGAGACCCCTTTTCTAAAATGAACTGATACCTAGACCCCCTATAGCCAAATTACTGCACGCTTATCGACTTGTTGAGTTTTTTTAAAGTACAACAATTATACTTGCTACTAAAATATTAGTCATTCTTATAACAAGTTGGTACATGTAACACAACTAATACAGTATCTTGTAAGTTTCAAGTGAGAACTTGTATTAATAGGGGTCGATGTTTAGATCTCGTCGACGCCCAAAATCAGATTTCATTTATGTTGACCTTTTTTTTTCTGTGCGGGAATCCCTTCGGATACCACCCACCGGTGGTCATGTTGACCACTGGGAAACCGATTTCGAGCCCAAGGGGTCCACTTTGGGAATCCCTGGTTTAGGCGTTAGTTTTGAAGCAAACTGTCCGTCAGAAAAACAGGTCTATATAACACTATGAATTATGTTCCTGTAGTACGAACATAAGATTACAAAACTAACCTAAACGACCAATTAGGTGGATGAATTGAGTGGTACGTTTCTAACAAAGGAATAATATACCTAAACCTCAGTGTCCACCCACCCGTCTGCATGTTTATCCCGATCCAGAATTTTTACTCAGGCTGAGTTCTTGAGATCTTTCTCAGAAATATCAAATACTTATATCTGAAGGTTCTTGAAGTTGTACATAAATAAACTGCTAAGTCAACACAATCAAAAGGTAGGGTCATATATTTTAGCGATTACCCTGTAGGGTACTTCTTATTGATCTAGAATCATGAAAATTGGTTAAGTCTCACTGTACAAGTAAAAGAAAGAAGAATGTTAGAATATCTTCGGACAAAACGGGCATTTGACGAATGGATCCCTCGGTGGGTGAGTAAGATACGCCCTGAGACAATACTAGAAAATATTGCTTTCTTAGCGTATGTTCTTGCGCTGAATCAGGTATCTAGACTTCGGACTCATAAAAAATACCAGTTTAACAAACAGAGATCAACTAAGTATACAATTTTTGTGACAATATGAGTGACAATTTTCATCATCATCAACCTAACGCCGTCCACTGCTGGACGAAGGCCTCTACCGAAGAGTGCCAACCATCCCGGTCTTGGGCAGCCCGCATTCTTCTGCTGCCAGCATTTTCCGAAAGTCATCGGCGTCCATCGTATATCGGTTACTGTAATTATCTGTCGAATAAGTTCGTTTCGTTTGACCATCTTAATAAGTTGTAAATAAAGTTTGAGTTACTTACTTCTTAAACTTAACATCGGGGTGTACTGGGAAGGGTGGTAGCGGCGCAGAGGGCGAAAGTGAAGGCATTGGCGCCAGGGTTGCTCCGCCCGCTCCTCCACCGTACCCGTGGTACATGCTGCTCGCGTACATCGGGTTCTGTCGGGCCTGTAAGTGTCTTTCTGTACCGTTTCGCTTGCCATCAATTTTGAATTTAGCCATGGGTACATGCATGCTAGCCTATAGTGTAACATAACACATTTTTTAATATCTGTACATTTAAATAATGTTCGCATTTTTTGTAATGTGTGATATGAAAGCTTTGATATCTTTGAGAATTCACCTGTTTTCTGAATATTTATGATTTTAATAAACAACATTCTTAAGTTTGTTTTCTTGTTTATAATAACTTTTAGTCATGTTCAGTTCATGTGAATCCTGCCCTAAACCTATTTCATCCTTGGAGTATTCTACAGAAAGACGGTGTCTTGCACACCAGGCTGAGCCTATTTACGTTGCAAAAGTTAAAACTTTTTCGTTTGTCTAAAGTTTCATTAGAAGTGTTGGTCTTTTACAACTTTGTATTTGAAGAATTAAATGTAATGGCAAACAGTGTCCAGCTGAGAGCAGTAACTAATAATTTGAGAACTGATCAGATTGGCACTACTATATTTTAACCTATCGGTAACTGACAGTGTGGCGAGTTTATTTTTTCTGGCTTTTATGGAAGTTAAAGAAAAAAAAATTGTTAGATGTTCTGTGTTTACTAATTTTCTAATATTGACTTTGAACAGTGCACCATTACAAAGAGAAAGTTTTTTCCTTCCTTCCCTGTTTCTGCACCTGGCTACAGCACCATATCAAAATAAACTTGACTGACAGTTTTACATACCGAAATAAATTTAATAACTAAAAACTAAATTTGAAGATTTGGTTGGTAGGGTCTTTATATTAAGTACCTATGTTGGTTTTGGCAAATAAAATTTGTTAATTTCAAATGTTATTGCCATTCAAAATGGGGTTACTATGATTTTGTATTCAGACAAAAGTTTGCTTAAAATATTGATCAAATGTTAAATATGGTAGTATCATCTATCATGGGATTTTAACTAGAAAGCCACCAACTGTCTCTGTTACTGAGCATTGCCATACAGTGGGATTAAGGACTAGCTATATATAATAATCTAACAGGCGACGCCCGAGTAGATGACTTAGCCATTGTGGCGGTTATCTCTATCTCTCTTGTCAAAATTGATAATCAAATGAATAAACCACAGCATTACCATTATATCAGACAAGTTGATTGAGCAGATCTTTAAAATAACAATACTACAACAATATGGTAAAAGTAAAATTAAATACATTTGCTACTATACAATTACATACTACCATAATTTAAAAGACAAGCAAAATATATTACAACCACATAACACCAAAAGAAAAAAATGTATATGTTTTACTATTAAACTATTAAATGCTTTTATATATTCTAGATTTTTCTATTAACTAATTACACTTGTGATGTAAAATCAAAAAATCCAAAAGAGAATTTAGTGTTGTCATGCCACCTAATTCATAATTCAGTTGGAATAACAAAAAGCAAGCAGTGTCTGAGTGTGTGAATATTTCAGAAAAAGGTGTAAAAAGTTAACCTCCTTTCTAAGAAGAGGCCTATGTCCAGCAGTGGACTATTAAAGGCTGTTGATGTGATGTGTGTAAAAAGTTGTAGAAGTTAAGTTATTTCAGATAGGACAAGATGTCACAAAAATCTGTACTATTTTACATTTCAATACTTTATCCCCTAGTTTAAAGTTAAGTATGTCTGGGAACCACTAGACTTTATTTTCTAAACATATTTAAAAAAATGCAAGTGTATATATACATTAAATGAATGAACATAAAAACACACACAGCCTGTAAAAGCTCTATGTAAGTGGTATTTACCGTGACAGGGAGAGCCTGAGCGCGTGAGTCCTGTGGATTATAGCCACTAACTGCTGGATGCTGGTACATTGTACGCGAGCCCGACAGCGCGGGCGCAAGAGGATCTTTCCCTTGCGACCCGCTGCCTGGCCCCACGCCGCTCGACTGCAAGGCCTGATTGTTCCTACAAAACAAAACTATATTTCATACTTCCGCTGAAAAACCTTTCTAGTGCCGCTTAAACTAATTATAGTTTACAAATAACAAATAAATTTCATGCAAGTTTAGACTGCACAAGTGCTTCTCGTCTCATCATCTCTCCTTACACTAATCCTGTCATAGTTAGAACCATCCATGGGCGTACTCAGATTTTTCCCCATGGAAAGACAAAAATTTTTATACAGCCCAAGGAGGTGCAAATTAAAATTTTGCTTTAATGTTACTTCCATAAACTTACAATGTAAGCATAAAAAGTAAAAGGAGGGCGTAGCTGAAGTCCTTCAGCCCCCTGAATACACCCATGGAACCATCACCCAAAGCCCATTATCATGCTTCTTCAGTCTCCCACATGCCAACATTTAACAATTGCAATGACAAACAGAACCAACATCAGAAATTGGGTATGTCATGCTGGCAGCTACTGGTGCAAACGCGACAGGAACAGACACTTGCCTAGACTGATTGTAGGCCTTTTGTGAGCGGTGACCATTTTCGGTGGCTTTGAGTCGCGTTCTAAGTTCGGAAGAGGTTCCATTTTCAGAGGGCGCACTGGTAGCTGCGCTTCCTACTCTCGCTGAAGATCGTGTTTTAACCATTGTTGACGAACGACCATCTCATGTCAACTGAAATTCATTAGTCCAAAAATGGACAAACTATCATAAAAATCTATACAAAACTGAAGAGATTTCTGGAAAATTTCTTCAATGTTGCAAATGATACAGCACCATGTAGACTCCTTATTTCTCTTACATTACTGAAACTGATAGGGAAAGGGGCAAGACCTACTGAACATCTGCAATTGAATAATTATCCATTTTAGTCATCAATGGTTAAAACATGTCTTACAGCTTTATTTTAACATCTAGACAAACCATAAAATACTTAAACTAAGGTTTTCTTTGAAAACAATTGTTGGTGATCCTTTAGTTTAAAATTTGAGAAATTATTCCACTGCAGCTGTAAAGGAACAACGCTAAGGAGAGAAAAGTACAAGTTAATTTTTTCAACATGAGAAACCCAATTTATTGGGTACAGAACTTGATAAGTAAGAGAAATAAGGGGTGTCCTGTTTATAAAATATTCCAGAATAATGTGTATTAAGAAATGGTAATACAGGATGGAGGCAACAGGACCACTCCAATTTGTGTCAGTTTCATTTTAGATATGTTTATGAACAAATATTGAAATAAAGTCTAACTTTGTTTGCCCTAATCATACACATATTTTAGTAGGTATTAAAAAACGAGAGGCATTTAGTAACTAAAATTGAAGTGTCTATTATAAAATTCCTTTAAACTGAAACATCTATTTTCTGTAATGTTTACTATTGCGTATATAAATAAAATAAATCAGGGTATATCATACGACTTAAGTTTACAAAGTAATCAGGGATCTAAAGAAAAAAGTACTCAAGCAAAATGAGTGGAAATCCCGGTACGTACAAACAAAAAATCGATAATCGTTATCATGATTATTGAAGCTAAATCCTTCATGATTGTCAACCTTACGAAAACAAATAATAAAAATAACATATTACGGCTGGGTTGTGAAGTATTATTTAATTTGGCTACAATTTTTACGAGAAAACCACGTTCGAAACGCAGGTTGTAAAACACAGTTAAATTTAAAAAGCCCGGCATCCACCAGAAGGCTGTGTAAATTCTAGATCAATTTTTAACCATTAATTTATCTAATTCCTACATCACCCAAGTGTTTAGTTGAGTAACTACATTAATAAGTTCTAAAAGAAAACGTACACAAAAATTTAAACAATATGGTTGTCACTATAAGAAATCAAAGTTTACTCACCATGATATAGCGTTACCGTAATCGTAATATCTACTCATATTAAATCTAATTTAAAAAAGTTACACTGACATTTAATTACAATTAAAAATTATTTACGTGTATTTTTCACAAAACGCCATAACTTGACGCTTGCTACACACACACAGCCGCCACGTTGGCCATAGACTAAAATTTTCATATCTTTGTGTGAACGAGGCTTTATAAAAGTTCAGTGGAATATCTTAATATTTCAGGTGTTTTTTAGCGATTTTAATCATAAAATAATAATTTTAGTTAAGATTATTTATAACAAATAAAAACGATCATTGTATAATTAATTTTAAGATTGGTTTTCTCAGAGGTTTGTAGTAAAATTAAAATAAAGCAGAGGACACACGAACCGAGACCATTAACAAGTAGAATAATGACTTCCTTTTCCTATCTTGCATTGCTGGGAAAACTGTCATGTAATATTTGCATTATGATCGTTTTACCTAAATATTACACAAATTCATGTATAAATATATATGGATTCGCATCTATGTACACAATTATGCACTTCATTATGTGTATAAATATATTTATATACCTTGTCCATGAGGTTAAGTTACAGGTAGATTCTATAGCATAGTATAATCCGTCCACGATAAGTTGAGACTACTCGAGACTTGCGAATGCGATTCCCCGCCCGCTCCCCTGTCATTTCACTTCGAGCGCCCACGTTGTACTGTAGGCAAAGCCTTTTTTTACTAACATATTTGTTTAGCACTGGTCTACGTCATGTAACGACGTGGTATTCCTACTGTTATCAGATTTGCTGTTACATTTTGTTGTTGATCTTGTTGGAAATAGATACACATTTACATTTTATAATTAGTTACAATTCTGAATTAAATATATTGAATTTTATCACTACTGCTTCGTAGCAGTTGTCATAGCGTAGTAGTACAATATTGTTTTTTTTAAGCTCAGAATAATAATTAAAAAAGATTAATATAAAGTGTCATTGTTTTGAGTACAACACTTTATCTATGCTTTTTATTACACAAAAAAATATCATAGACGAAGTCGCGTACGGAATCTTATAGTACTACTTTTTGTGCACTCTGTACAAACGCGTGTCTGTGACCTCACCGCGTTCAGGTCTCGAGTTATGGTGCTCGCATTTTAAAAGTAAGTGAGATATCGCGATATACCTGTATGGTAGATTAGAGTCATACTATGGAACATGGATTTGGTCTTTTCAACTGACCACAGTTTAAATTAAGAATCTCGTTTGAAAAAATTAATTTACAACGGAACAGTTTGTAAATTCTTCCCGAATGCTTGCGTACGATGCCTAAATACAAAAAATCGTCATAACTTCGTTCCTATCGGGTGTCGTGGGACACCCGATAGGAACGAAGTTATGACGAAGTTGTGACGATCGAGTAAAACTGATTCGACACGATTTTAATTACAACGCCATCTATGAAAGCGGCTATTACCTACATATTTTTCAGTTGATTTCTAATTAAAACAATTTATACATTGGTAAAATCTCCTTGAGAAATGATTTCCTATCTATTCGATAGATAGCGCTGAATGACTGACAAGTGACAATTCAAAATAAATACTGAGATGAAAAGTAATGATTTCCTATCTATTCGATAGATCGCGCTGAATGACTGACATAAAAAAGTGTCGTTACAACTTTTCGTGAGATTTTTTTCCGTCTAGCCCCCTTTCACAACGCGCGATAAGGAACTTCGTTCCAATTAACAATTATTAACAAGATAAGTTCGTGTCAACATTTTTGCCAGGTAATATTTAAATTATAGGTAGATACAAATGTTTTTTTAATAATAATAGTAATTTATTTCGAGTAACTGTGATTCATAGTAATTATTAGTAGTACATTTAAACTTAGCCTATGTTAGTATTACGGTACATAATTACAAAAAAATTCATGTAGCCCACAGCATCGAGTCCTATATGGGCAGTCCATTCTGTCGCCTATCATGACTAGGACCCTGAAGGAGCTGCCCCTTACCCAGCAAGAATGATGATTCTCGTTTGCGTAACGTGGAGTAAACGTAGTCAAGTGTGATGTTTGGTGACTTGTTAATTATGTCAACAAATAGAACTCAAGTAGTTACATTAATTATATTTAACTTCAAGTCATTCTCTGTTTGTTTAAAATATTACTAACTAGTTTTGCCCGTGACCCGTGTCACCGCCGTGGTTATCGCGGTAAAAAGCACCCTATGTTACTCGCTGATAATGTAGCTTTCCAATGGTGAAATAATTTAAAACATCGTTTTAGTAGTTTAGGCATGAAAGCGTAACAAATATAAAAACAAACAAACTCACTTTCATATTTATAACATAAGTGTGGAAGTATAGATTTATACATACCTATTAAAAAAATAATCTAAATAGTGCACAATTGAAATGCCTATAAATACATTCCCTGCTTCTACCACAAATCCTCAAAAACGAGAAAGAAAAAAAGTTTCTTTAATACGACCCATTTTCTATTTTATTAGATCTCTCAACCCAACGAAACCAAAACAAAGGAATGTCCATCTATTTACCTAAACCTCCTTATTGAATATGAAAGTCATGTAATATGAGTATAAGAATAAGTATAAGTATTTTATATGAAAATCATGTTGTTTCCACATTTAATTCATATATTCTTATATTTTATTTAACACAATTACTTTAAATAATACTAGCTGTGCCCTGCCATCTGCCATGCTTCGCTGTGGCACTTTGTTGTTGCATTGATGAGAAATTAAGAACATAACTAACTTGAAAAATAGATAAAAACAATCTTTGAAACGGTTTGTATCGGTGCAGAACTTTTTGAGTTTTTGAAGAGTACACAAACCAACTTATCATTTTTGTATATTTAGATTCAGACATGAAAAACCAATCACAACACACAGAACTTTAAATTCTCATTAAAAAAAACTAATTAATGTCTGTCCGATATTTTAAAATAAAAACTCTTTAAAATGTCAAAAATTTACATAAACGTAACACTCCACTTACATAATAGAGCACAAGCATCTCTCAAGAAGAGAGGATTGAGCATAAGTGGAGATAATCGAAGAATTAAGGAATTTAAAAAGGGTTAAAGGAAAGCGATAAAAAAACGCTCTTTCACTTGAATCCCCTGACTCAATCCCCAGGGGATTGTACAACACTCACCATTCCACCGGACCTGGCTTTTACCCTTAATAATTCATTTGAAACATAAACACTGTTATGTAATGTGTAAACTAGTTGATCACGATATTAATTATTATCTTCCTAAAACATGTAAAAGATTATGTTAAGAATGCGATCGCTACTGTGAACCATAGCTGGGCACAACTTAAAAAAAGACGTGTGGCACTCGGGGACTGCCGCGGTAAAGCTATTGCATAGCATTTTGTATCAACTTATGCAATAATAATTATTTATTTATTTTATTTATGCAGTATTTCTATTTCTTTGATATTAATTCAAGTTACACTTTTTGAGCGTGGTGACCGATAAGAAAACAATTTTTTTGACGTGACAACGTCTTATAAATTGGTTTGCCGGGTGACACTTCAAGAAACTGCGTTACGCTCCGCTCACGTTATGCGCTCACAATGAGAGCGAGTGAGAGGCACGCGTCCCTTCCACTCGGGCATGGTTAGCCCGCCTAAGAGCGAGAGAGACAGACATAAAAAGTGAAAGGCACGCGTCCCTTCCACTCGAGCACAGTTAGCCCGCCTAAGAGCGAGAGAGACAGAGCGAGAGAGAGAGAGTGAGAGAGATAGGCATACACATT